TTTAAATATTTGCCTGGTGTTTTTTAGTCGCTAACTTTTAGGATGCTTTTTTTTCTCTTTGTGAAATTTCTATACACCTTGCCACAGTAGAGTTTAAAATAACTCTTCACTCTAAAAATACTACATGCCATTTTAAAAACCTTTAGAAAATATGAAAAAATTTAAAGGTGAAAATGCAAACCCCCTGCAGGTCTATCACACACAGTTAACCTCCACAATCGTCTTTATTCTGCTAATTTTAAAATGCAGATATGGTTTTACCAACGATTCTTTAAAATCTTCACTTTAAAGCTTCTAAAAAAAGGAGGGGGAGATAATGAATTTGAATATTGTCTCTATCGATAACCAGATCATCTTAACATTATGAAATCCCCAAATCAAACAAAGACAATAACCACAATGGCCAGTGAATATTTTAAATTGTGTAAATGGGTTGTTGTGTTTTAACTGTTATGTGTGTGTTTTGGTGTTGTTTTATTGTAGAATAACTAAGAAAATGTAATCTCTTAAGACAGGGGAAGATTTATTGACTCTTTGGTTTTGTAGTGCCTTGCAGCAGTTCCTGTTTTGGGAGGCTCACTTATGATTGTTGTCTTCATAGTCTGGCAGTTGGGTTTGGGATGGTCAACAAGACCTCCATCGCCATCCATGGTTTCTGTTGCTCTCCAGGTAGACGCTGAGGGCAATGACAGAAGGAAAGTCTTTATAAATTTTTAGTTCTCGACCCATACAGAGCAACTACTCTACAACCTTCTGATCTAAGCAAAACACAGAGTCACTTCAGAATGTAGCGCTGTGAAAGAGTCACTCATTTCTGGTGGGAGGAGCTCCAAGTATTTTTTTTTTGCTGACACTTAATCTGATGAGGATTTGAAGAACATACCAAGTACTCACTGTTTGAGAAAATGTCTATCAGAATTTGGAGGAATGTCCTTAAAATTTAAATTCATTAGATGAAATACAGAGAGATATATTTTGAGAATTGAAATTGTATGTTTATAGTAAACATTAGTAGTGTTTTATAAATATACCCAGGGTTACAAACCCCAATATTTGTGAAGCTACAAGGGTTCTGATAATACCCAAATAGGTCAGAACAGGATGGATTAAACGGGGATATATTGAATGTTGAAAGAGGTTTAGAAGATTCTTTGGTGACTATATGAACCCCATGATGTCAAACTACAAGTACACTGAAAAAAAAAAAAAAAAAAAAAAAGACTTACATCCCACCAAGTGGTTTCTGGAAGTTAACAAATACACTCTCAACTTGTGCTGGGAAGAGGCTACATTGTAAGCACAATGCAGAAGAAGTAAGCAGGCAGATGTCAGTATCTGGCTTTAAGTCTTTTGTTTCTTTTCAGTAGGAAGATAGTAGGAACTGACAGAAAACAGGGTTATGAACAGAAGAACAGAAAATAACTCTCACAGTTAGATTCTACAGAGTAGATCCTTGACAATGGAACAAATTTAAAAAAAAAGAAAAAAATCTTTTCATGAAAGGTGAGTTGGGACAATTGGAAAACAATGAGCTCAAAATAGATCATTAGCCTAAATGTGAAATACAAAATGTTAACGTTTCTAGAAGATACTGTAGGAAGTCCAGGTGGTAGGCTTGGATACGATCATGGATTTTCAGATATCATACATTAAAAAATGAAAAGAAAAGTATGATAGGTATTTTAAAATTCAGAATTCCTACTCTATGAACAAACAAAAAGGCCATGTCTTAGAAGCATATTTTCATAACTCACATTAGTAAAAGGGCCTATCTCCAAAATATATAATGAACATTTTTTAAAGCAATAGTCAAACACTACCACCAAGCCAATCAAAATCAGCCAAAAGACTGTAGCAAACATTCACCAAAGAAAACACACAATGAGAACATAGCACAAGGGAAAGGTCACCCACACCTATTACCATGACAGAACACAAAACATTCCAGGACCTGGCAGAAACGAAAACTAGGCTATCACTTTGGAAGAAATCTGGAAGTTTTCTCCAAAGATAAACATAGTTTTATCACACAATTTAGGAATTCTGTTCTGAGTCACTGGACTCATCTCTAAACGAGACATTTATACCTTTCAGGCTCTGAGAACATTGCAGAAGAGAGGCAGAAAGCATTTAAGAGCTAGATGACAGGGTAAAGCACAATGAAATGCCGTCATCTAGGCTTGATGTGTACATTGTTATTATGAGCTCCTAACTGCAGTTATATGCACTGATAAGACCCTAGCGAGGCCCTGTCAATACCCAGTCATGGCCTTTACTACTGAACTACTGGCTGCTGGTGGCTTCTGGGAGTGAGATTTTATTGTCTCCAGTTGTGGACTAATGCTATATTGATCAGCTCCAGAGAGTAGCTCCAAGCCAACTTGGATAGGCCTAGTTAAACTCAGTGGGTCACCAAACAAAACATGAGAAGTAGAGTTTTAGGGACATAGGGAGTTGGATAGGGATGGTAAGGGGGAAGGAGTGGGGCAGGAGTGTGATCAGTATGCATTGTGTATATGAGTGAAACGGTCAAATAACAGTACTTAGAATCTATACATATTAGTAGAAGATTTGTTCCTAGACTTCAAACACTGAGAGAAACTAAATTATTCTTCAACCGGAGAACTACAAAAGTTGGGCATGCTGATACAATTACATACTATCAAACAACAAGGGCCAGTTAGCAGGCACAAAATGAAGAAATATTAAGGATATAATACTGAATTTAAAAAGCACAGTTTAAAATGATACTATATAATATGATTGATAACTATTAATATGAATAATACTACTTAACCTATAATCTGTCATGTTACTCAGGTAAAACCTTAACACAGAGAAAATGCAAATAATTTCAATTCTCGCAAATGTTCAACAGTGTAAGTAGGGAAGTGATTAGTTATCACTTAAGATTTAAAGCAGGGCTAATAGAGAAAAGATGAATAAGTAAAGAAACGGCATACTCTAATGATGGATATGAATTGAATTTATACAAGCCTATATAAAATAATTAGCCCTAGTTTAAACTATGGGAATAATTGAATAACTGTCTTAACCTTGGCAACAACAATGTACACTAATGTAACATGTTCATAACAGGGAAGATGGTGGCAAAAGATGGGGACCGGACACTGAGGAACTACCCCTGTTTTATTTTATGTTGTGGTTGTGCTTTCTGATAAAATAACACACAATAATTTGAGTTGCCATATTTATTTCTTGGTTGGTAAATAATTTACCTGTACAACAAGCCAGGTAAAATTTCCTTTAGGTAGCAAATGAAAGCAAGCAGACCGCCCCTGGGTGAGTCTTAGCAGTCTTGTATAGCATGTATAGGAACGGTATTCCTGGAAACAGGTGGTGAGGGGTTGTGTCTGAATGAATCATTGGCCTTTGTAAGTACATCTACATACAATGCTCCATGTGGGGATTTGCCCATTTCAGAAAATAATTTCCTTAGGCAGTATTATCTTATGAACCATATTTGTTTATTTGAAAAGTCACCTTTGTGAGGAGAAATAGGATGTGCAATTCTGTGTATTTCAAAAGTTTTGAGGCATTTTTCAACAGCCCTGGTTTAACCACAATTAACACACCTGGAAAACTGTTTTGAATCTTTTTATTGTGAAGATGATTTATTAATCTTGTTGAAACTACCAGAGACAGATGTAGGAAGACTGAGAAAATTTCTATATATAGAATTAAATTTCTATACACAGAATATTAAAGATGAAAATTACTATCCCAGTAATTTGTTTTTCTTCTACGACCCATACTCAGTGTGAGGTTGAATGTGGCTAGGACAATAATGTGTTCAAATACATTCCAGGTCCTTGACAAATGATTGCCTTTGAGATCAGCAGCAGCCTACTCTATGGCCTGGTGGCAGCTAATGTCATTCAGTGACTCTCTGTTCACCTCTCTCCTGGATATAAGACACCATCACCTCTCACCTTCTTTACATTCAGATTTTACTTTTGAGAAAAACAGTATTACTGACAAGTTAATTCTACATATTTCATTAAGTTACACCCTTGATTAACCTTTCCTAAAGGGATGTAGATTTTATGGGAATGAAGAAACTTAGTAATATATCTTTAATAAATCAACTGAGATGGACATTGATGAGCAGATTAGGCCAGACAAAAAGGCAATTGTTTTGATTGATTGCTCTCCAGGCATGGTTCCTGGAAATCACATAATGAGAAGGGGTTCTCATCCGTCTCAAGAGGACTTCTTGAGTGTTGAGCCTTTGCTTAGGCTCTGAGTTTCTGCTTGTTTCATGTGTAGATAAGAATAAAGTTTATAAGTTTATCCGTGCTAGTAAACATGGATGACACATATACACACGACGTACTGTGAGAGATGAACTAGATGGAGCTTGATTTCCTCATTCACGCACATTCTTAGCAATGGGACAAGCTCACTCTTTAGAAAGATTTTACAGTGAAAACAAAGCTACACCATAGCCTGATTTATTTTTAAAAAACAAACAAAAAACACTTAAGCATCAAATATTCACCTAAAAATTGTATATTTTCATACACTGTTCATAGGCTATCTAAAACCATTCCAACATGTTTATCTTACTTTTCAGTACATAAAAGTGATTTTTAGAAAGCAGAAGAAAGGAGAATCAAGGTTGTTGCAGACCAAGTGAACCGTTAACATTTTTTGACGCTAACATGTAGACAAGTTACTGATAATATTGTTTTGTTTCACCAATGAAGACATAGCCTGGAGCCTAATAAGGATCCATAATGTCTACCTTATGTCGCTTACCTTATGTTTTGATTTCTTAGCAGCTAAGAATATTCTAATACCAGGATTCTACATTCTTGGAGTAGAGAAACTCTTTTAGAACTTTATCCTCAAATTTTCTTGGCATTCTTCTACTTTTCTAGCTTTATTCTTCATTATCTTACATCATACCAATGACACATACGATTCTAGCTGCAATTTTTTCGTGTGATATATGACCCTGTGTTTTCTTTCCATAGATCCAGGGCTGCATAGACAGCTATATTTTCTGCAAAGACCGTCCAACGTAGTAGCCATTGAAGGAAAAGATGCTGTCCTGGAGTGTTGTGTTTCTGGCTACCCTCCGCCAAGTTTCACCTGGTTACGGGGCGAGGAGGTTATCCAACTGAGGTATTACAAACACACCTGGACCCTAGGGAACTATGTACTATTGCCTTTTACTTTCTGATAGGCACCAAACATTCCTGTTTTCTCAAAATAATTAGATTTGTTTTCAAAATCTTTGGCATGATATTTAATTATTGGGAATATATGATAAGGAAAGAAGTAAAAGCTCATGGCTTTAGTTGTGAAGGGAAAGTAAATTAGCATATAGAGATGCAAGAACATTCAGATGATGTCATCACAGGAACATTCCTGAGACGGTAGATCTTATATGTTCATAACACAATGCATGCCCACATGCATACTCATGCATGCGCACATATACACAGGTTACCTAACTTGTGGAAATCATTTCATATTATATGCATATGCACATATTTCACATTCCATATATAAAATAACCTCATGGCATACCATAGATATAAACAATTTAACATTGCCAATTACATTTCAATAATAGTGAAGACAGAAAAGAAAGCATTTCTTCAGTTTAATGTGTTACATACCTATCGTCTTAAGATCTGCATAGATATTTTAGTTCCTAATGTGCCTGTTTTTATTCATATGACTTATGGGATAAGATATTATTAATTATCTTATATTTATATAAATATAACATAGTGCTGGAGAGCATGGCTCAAATTGGATTAGCCCAAGATTAATAATAAGTGAGTTAGAAATCAAGTTGATACTTAATTGGAGTACTTAGTCAGAACCACCCTGATTAAATGGCTCCCACTTAAGAAATTAAGCTCATTGATTAGAATGACTGCTATACTCCTTTTAACACATTTAATTTCTGTGATGAGATACGTGCACAGATCATAAATTATTGTTTAAATTTTGTCCAATTTAAGTAAGCATTTAGGCAACAATAAGACACAGGATGCCTTCACAGTGTTTCTGAGGTCATGAAGGCATACAGGAAATCTGGCGACTGCTCACGTTGATACAGGCAGATGCTCTTGGTTCAGTTGGAGTGTGACTTTTTAAATAGTGACTGAGTTACATGTCAGAGTAGGAGACATTGATCTCCACCCTGGAGAACCATTTTTTTTTCACCTTGAGGCCCTGTGACTTAAAATGAAAGAATCACACTAGATTATTTTGAAAATTCTTTTTATTAGTTTTAGAATAGAAATTTCTTATCGTTCTATAGGTTATTACATTTATTCTGTAACTGTAATGCATTGGTATTACATTTAATTTAGTTAATCCCTGAATTAATACACAGAGCTTCCTGATGGAAGTTTACCTTGAATTAATACTAGTTCAAGGGGTGAGATATGGATCCTTGATGACATAGGGATTTGATCTGTCCATCTGTACAATGTGAACATTCGTTGGATTCAGGAGCACTTCTGAGGGTCTTGCCTAATGCTCGACTATGTTAACTGACCATCTCCTTGCATGCGGCCTCTGTCTTACAGGTCTAAAAAGTATTCGTTGTTGGGTGGAAGCAATTTGCTCATCTCTAATGTGACAGATGACGACAGCGGAACCTATACCTGTGTTATCACATATAAGAATGAGAATATTAGTGCCTCTGCAGAGCTCACAGTTTTGGGTAAGTCAGTGATGGGAGATTAGTTTACATTCCACCCTTCAAAATATACCGCTATAACATTTTAAGTGCTTGTCACTGATGGCTTCCCGTATTTATTAGTGTGAAATTGAAAGGTTCCAGTATTCTGTGCATGCTCTTGCTAGGCTTTGATTAATTGCACAAGGGTTAAATGCAGTGTTTGAATATTTGCTTATTGATTAAAAGTCACATATATTACTTCTTGCTTTAATTATTTTAGTGATGTACTGAAAAGTTCCCCAAAGTGTTAATGAGCAGATGTGTTGAATAACAATGGAGAGTTCTAAAAATATCATATACACAGAAAATAAATGATGAAAAAATTGTAGAAATTATATAAAAGTGTTCACGAGTGGAAAAGCTGATGATACTTGAAATAATGTCTCTGACATTAAATTCAGTGTGCTGAGAAGATTGATTTATTAATATGGAATAACTGTAGGTGTTGTGTTGAAAGTAAACAACTAAAATCCAATATGCTTAAGAAAAACTTTCCATAGGAAGAATGCAATTTAAAGAGTTTAAGCAACATGGATGGATTTATGTCCTTCAGGAAGGCAGGAACACCTACAACTTACTGAAAATTAAGAATAATGATCTGTGGTCCCAGCTCAGACAAATGAATGTCTTATCATGTCTTGAAATTTGTTTTATCTATTTTGCCCTCAATTATGTACTTGGAGAAGATAAATTAATATATTTTTTTCTTTTTCCTGTATGTGACAAAAATGTTTACTAGTTTTTCACTTTTTCCTACTGAATAAGGTCTTTTGTATTTTTAAAAATCTAAGAAAAACAGAGGCTCTTTATAAATTATTCTGTAGATATTAAAAGATAATAAGGAGTTATAAAATGTGACAATTTGCTGAGCTGTATCATGTAGCTATGACATTCATTTTGCTTTGAACTTTAAAGCCTAGGGGAAAGATAATAGGATAGATGGTGGGTTGCTTATTTACTCATTGAAATTTAAATTCTAAATAACAAAGGGGAAAATGGTATAAGTTATTTAGATTTAGAGATAGCATTACCTTAGGTAAAATACTAACAGCCTTCAAGCTGCCAACATTCTAATTTAATAGTACTTCTTATTTCAGTATTACAAAGAAAATAAAGCATTTGTAATATCAAGATACCATGACATGTATTGCTATGCAATGTGATCTTTACTGATCACTTGATGAATGTGGTCATATAATAAGCTAGAATTTAGATTACGTGTAGATAAAGTCAAGTTTTATATGAACTTATTAGACTGAAACGTACTGGAATTTTTATACAAAGGATGAGACCAAAGGATAAGTTATTATTATTTCTTTTGATTTTATAGTCATTGATGTTTTATATGAATGTTTCTTTGTGTGAACATGTCAGAAGCCTTGGTACTCAAGTTATAGAGAAGGTGGAACATGCCATTTGTGTGCAACAATCAGTGCCCTTAACAATTGAGCCATCTCTCCAGTCCCAAACAAGGCTAGTTCTTAAACGACGTCCTACATAGATTAGGCTGCCAGTGAGCAAACAGGCTTGTTTAGCTCATTGGGATACAGCAATCCTCTGAGCAGCAGCCATTTCAAAGAATGTATGTGTTATTTGAGATGTCTTAGTCTTTGTTTTTCTAAACTAGCTGTGAATTAGAGCAAAGCCACATAAACTCCACCTACGTGAGGTGAATGCTTATTACAGGAGTTGTGTTTTCTCTTAAAGATGACCCAGTATCTTCTCTGTGTCCCTGTGTAGTTTTGGATATTCTTCTGAATTTTCTTTTGAGAAATTTGAACCTTATGGGTTGTTAAATTAGAGTTGATATGTAATACACACACACACACACACACACTCAGAGACCAAATCACTAAATATTTATTTATTTACTTCCAAAGGAATGCAGACCTGTTTAAACTCTCATCAACAGTCTAAGAGTTTAGATTCTTAGTTAGAGTGAATCTTTTCCTACCTCTAGAGTGAATGTTTCATTTCCTTACCTCACAATTACCTATCATGGAATCTCCTTTTCAAAATTTACATCTTTGTGGCATTACATTTTCATTTTTATTTAATTTATGATTTAAACTTTAGTTTCCAAATTTCTTTTTAGTTGGTTTTTACTAGACAATCATATTTTCAGTTTTTTTTTAAAGTTACAACCAATTTTCTTGGTATTTAAGTATTTATGTAAGCATATGTCTTTGTTTGGCGGGAACCCCTTGTAAGCAGGAAGTCTATGCTTATGCTCTGTGTACAGATACAAATCAATGAATGAGATTGCTTTATTTATAGTCAGTGGCTTCTTACCACTAAATTAATGGCTTTATTATAAATAATTCTCTTTCCAAAAATCTGCTTATAGGTTACAAAACAAGTATGTCTTTTGGAAGTATCTTGAATTTTCTTAACAAATATAAGATCTATGTTTATATCTTAATATTTGTATTTTCATTTCATTTATTTTTTGTTTCTAAGAAATCACCATGGTAACGGGGTATGTATTTTAATCATCTCCCATAGACATTTTATGACTGAAAACAACTACCTAAAGCTTGATTTAATAAAGAAGTTGGTTGTGACTAATCTTAGCTCTGAAGACAAATGTTCCATTAGAAAGTGTTTTATAAGGTGTCAGACTGTCCTAATACAAAGTTAGTGTCTCTCTAGCATATTGTTTATTTGAAAACAGAATTTATTGCCTTTTAGGAATGTATGCAGTGAAGAGAAGCGATCCTTGTTATCGAGGTTATTCAAATGTGTTTTCCTAACTTCTAAAAATCTGAGCATAGTGGTATTTTTCATAAGATTAAAGTCCCACAAGAAATATAAACTTGTACTTATAAATCTTTAATCATGCATTTTATGAGACTCTTGTTTTGTTTTACAACTCGTGATCTCTCTTGAGCATTCACTAGCTTTGAATGTGAACATTTTGAACTCATGACTTTTTAAGTTTTCTAAACAACTAGATTAAAGGGAATGTTGAGGCGTTTTTCAGTACTTTGCGTCAATAAACATCAAGAATAGTTTAAAGTCTAGCATTTACGTTGCATTCTGATAAAATGAAAATTGAAAGTTTATTACAAAAATAGGGTAATTTTTTCAAGCAAATAAAATAAATAAATTTGTAGACTTTTTTTTAAAAAAATAATAACCGTTTGAGGTTGTATTTCTGAACCTACAGATAAAAGTCAGTAAGATGTCTTTGGACATTTTTGGACATTAACATGGTACTTGGCTGCAGGAAAACCATAAAAGGTTTGACGAACTTGCAGTGCAATTTAAAAACTTCTATGTTGATTTGACCAATGCTTATAAGACATTTTAATATTATATGTAACCATAGAATCTGTAAAGATTTGAGGTGTTATTGCCTGTGTTGATTTGTGCTTTTCTCATTGTGACTGGCATTAGCAAGCTAAAGAGGGATTTATTTGTTCTCACAGTTTCAGTGTTCTTAGCACATGAAAACTTGTCATTGTGTGTGTGTGTGGGGGGAGAAGGCTCTGCAGCAGAGGGTACAGAGGCATAGCACTTTATACCTCATAGTCAGAACGCACAGAGGCATAGCGCTTTATACCACATGGTCATTCGGAAGCAGGGGAAAGAGCAAGAAGTATTCGAGCACAAATCATGTCCTTCAAGGATGCAGCTCAAGTGAACTATGTCTTGTGTCATGCTCTGACGTCTGAACAATTTCTTCTTTGGAGTCACTAATACCCTTGATAATGGCAGGACTTAGCTGGGGATCATTCCCTCAGTATATAGCCATCTTCAAAATGTTCATCATCTCTATATTCATAGAAAGAAGTTTGGACCCAAGGTATTAGATCAGGAAGGGGCATAAAGAGAATACTGATAGAAGTTCTCTGAAACTTGTGGCCAGCCTACATTTTTTTTTAGAAATCTCTAGTAGCATGGTTCTTACTTTTATATGCCTTATAACCATTTCTAAAAGAACTAAATAATTTTATTTTCTTCCTAACCATATATTCAATGTCCTTTTCCTATAGCTTGAGTTATAATATAATTATAACTTAAATTATATACCTATCTTCCCCAGCTGTCCATATTGACTGTCATATATAACTCTGTGCTTACTGTAAAACAAACCTCAGCAAACATACAGGAGATTTGCTACTGTCTCAGCTCGACATTGATCTGGAATCTAAATTTAGTATCTGAATCAATGCAGAGATGCATACTGTATGAGGTATTTAATCTCTCATCAATAAAGTATGAATTTTAAAGTAACCTATGTACAGTTCATGACCACATAGGAGGACACCATGGAGAGGTCACTTAGGAAAGGCTCCTCACTGCAAGCCACAGACTTGACACAGATAAGTAATTGAAACATTTTTTTTTCCAACTTTCCCAGAAGGGATTCTGGAATTCCTTTTAAAGCTATCTGCATCAATAAAAAAAGGAACAAAATGTGAAAAGCTTACCAATGTATACCATTTTGTTCTCATGTTTATTTCCTTTAACATATCTCTGGGAAAACGCTAACGAGGGACCATAGAACCTATTTTCCAGAATACTGATAAATCTGTTAAGTCAAACACTGTTTTTTTTTTCTTCTTAGCAATTTGGAAGCATGAAACTAACCCTAAGAATTTTCCATGTAGTGAGGGGGAGAGGGAGGAGGGGAGTAGGAGGGAAATGGGAGGATGGGAGGAGGTGGACATTTTTAATAAATAAATAAAATAAGATTAAAAAAGAAAACAAAAAAAGTATGTGTGAATTGTCAGAGAAGAGCAAGAAATGTGGGAAGAAACAAGGACGTGTATAAAGACAGTTGTTACAGAGGAATGTTGTGCTGGATTGGAAAATCAGTCTAGTTTTGGAGTGCTCTGATGATACTATGATTAGATTTTATCTTTTGTTCGATGGCATTTCAGTGCTAAGCGCTCTTATGTATAGCTTATTAACTGTCTCCTCTGAGCTAGGTAGGTAATCCTTAATTCCTTTACCTTTAAAAAAATGATAATTAC